TGACATCAACTTGAAATTTGGTTTGGAAAAATGTGCCAGAGTTAATATTGTCAGTGGAAAGTTAAAACGGAAGGAAAATATAGAAGACTCCGAAGAAGAACTTATTGAAGAACTGGACCCTGGATCAACATACAAATATCTGGGGATTGAAGAAAATTTTGGGGTAGCCAACAAGGAAATTAAACCTCGATTAAAGAAAGAATATTTTAAAAGATTGAGGCTCATATTACAGTCGGAACTGAATGGAAGAAATAAGTTAAACTCCATTGGCACATTAGCTGTTCCAGTAATAGAATACAGTTTTGGCCTTGTAAATATATATATATTGTTATGATCCCGCACTCAATGTTCACATTTTTCAATTTTTTTATAAACAAAAGACTAACGATGAACTCAAATTGTTCTTCTTTAGAAGCGAAGCTTCTAGAAACTCTTTCTTTTGTTTTATTTGCAAGTATTTGCTCGTTTAGATTGTTGGACATTCGAAACAATTGACTAATGAAAAATTGAGGTTATAAAGGGAAGCTTCACAGCTTTGCACGCGTTCTTTCGATACTTGTTTATTATATTGAATTCTTATCCGTTTCTTTAATTTTAGTTTTGGTTTAGTGATAGTTTCTAAGTGTTTGTTCGCGAGTTAAAATAACCTTTACTTTTATTTTGTGAAAAAGTCTATGCTGAGCATTTAACACGTCACAAGAAATAAACTGTAAATTAATTTTAGTATTAATTTGCGACTTATAATATAAAGAACGAACCGAACATAACACACAACGAGATGAACAACCGAACATGCTTTTATAATACGGCCACGAATAAATATTTTTACATAATAATAATAATAATAAATAAATAAATAAATAAAAATTAAATAAAATTTATTTATTATCCTTATTATTATTATTTTTTTTTATTTTAAATTCGTTTCTCCATCCTTGGTCACATTTAATATATACATATACACAATTTTGCTTTAAAACATAGTTATTTCATAATTTAAATTTTATTCCTATTAATACATAAGTTAAACATGAAAAATATGTGATTTTTTTTCTGACCAATCACGAGTAAGAATGGCGAGCGCCATTAATTTCTCGTTATGTATACAAAGCACGCCATTGGTTAAAAATTGTACTGAAAATTGCATATACTCTAAATGCAAGGCGTTGAAGCGAAGCGAAACTATCGAAAAATTGAGACCTCCTAAATATTATGTTTTACTGATACTCGAAGCCAATTTTTCACTCATTTTTCTTGATATTTTTTCGTCCGCCTTACTTTTGTGAGTTATGCAATTTGTCGTATTATCGCGTATTGCCAGTTGCATAACCACAATTTTTAAGGATTTTTGAATTTTTTCGATTTTTTCTGTTCGCCTTACTTTTTTGAGTTATGCAATTTGTCGGGTTTTGCGTATTGCCAGTTGCATAACCCAATTTGTATAAAAATTTCTTCTAAGTTTTTATTTTATGGGAATAAATGAATGATATAACCAAACATGCATGGTGGGAAAAAAAAAAAACAAATTTTATTTTTTTTTTAAATAATATATTTGAGAGAATAAATACATATATTACTATATTATTATTATTATTATTATTATCATTATAAATTTGAAAAAAAAAAACGGAAAACTTAATAATCGTTTGTGGCAAATTTAGTAGTTTATGTGTCACGATTAAGAAAAATATACATACATATATTTTATACATATATATGTATATAATATAAACGTGGCCAAATATAAATCAAACGTTCAATCATCACTCAAAATTTAATTACAGGTTTAAAACGAGGTCCCTTCTATGACGACAAACAACCGAACCTGATTTTTTCTAATTATTCCTCTTTCTCGCCTTTCCCTCCCTCCCTTCCTCCCTCTCCCCTTCTTGCCTTCTCGCTTTTTCGTACTTTTTTCCAAAACGAAATCGTAGCCATTATTTAAATTATTTGAAAATATAACAGAAACGTTTTTGTCACCTCTCTCTCCTCTCCAAAAGGTAGACATCATCTTGTTTCGCTGTCTGATACTGTCACTACTGAATGTACCGGCTCGTCTTTACTGGTCCTTTCCTAAATGAAAGAAAAAAAAAATAATAACAATTAGTAAAGACAAATGTAAAAAGTTTATAAAAATTTTCTGTTGTTTCATCCGCGTTCTACCTACTTACCATCGAGTAAAAACGCAAAATTGCGTTGGTCACGATTTCTTTGTAATGTCCTCCACGGCGGAGGAGTTCCCGTTTCCTATCCCCGAACCGACCCTATCTCGTCCGTCCACCAGTATTTCGGCCGCTTGCGCTCGACGCGTAAACCGACGCCAGTACCGTGTCTCCCCATCCCACCAGAACGAAACCCTCTCCCCGGGACAGCTCTCGAGGCCTCGGCGTTTTGACCGAGCTCGAGAATAGTATCGCGGCCACGCCGACCTCGGATGCGAACCGAGTACCGGCGCGACGACCCCCTCCCCCTGACGGAAAGACGTAAGGCTCCAAGATCATCGCGACTTCGATGCTCCACGTCCCTATCAAGTTTAGCAAAAGGTCCTGAGCCCCCTGCACCTGTTTAAATTAATTTGGAGAAACTTCCCCATGCCTACCGAGAGCTACTGGCGGAGCCGTTCGTTCCCGGCTGGCACGCGGAGGTTCCCCCCATCCTACCAGTTTCGGTTCCCCAACGAAAGGGCGTACCCCTAACAACCGGCGACCCGCACGGAGAACCCCCGAGCTATTTCTACCTTCAAATAAAATTAAAATAGAATTTCACACTAAAAATATAGCAAAATATGTTATAATAGTATTTTTCCCGTCGTTCATTGTTCTTTTTCCTAAAGTAACAAATCCTTTAAATGTCCAGGTTTTTTTTTTGCCTACGCAGATTTTGTCTTCATTAATAAAGGATATAGCAGGAGTTCTTGATTTATCCATATTCATTGGTAAGGATTTTTTTTTTTTTTCACTGTTTTTGCCAGTATGTTTTATGGTTCCTTGGTGCCCTAAGGGACTACCTACAAATAATATCCTATCCTACCGACAAATTATATGTTATGATTCTTGAATGAGAAAAATGATCTCTAATTACCCTGTTGGCCGACGAAAACACTAGGTGGGACCCCGAGGTGCTCCCGCCGACCGTTTTAAACAATGAGCAACAAGTAGGATCCGAATTACACGATCAGAGTCATCTGCTGCACCCGGCCTCCAAGTAGCTGGATTACAGGAGCACGCCACTAACTCCCGGCCCCCACTACTCCCCTGCCACTACCTCATTTTTTTTTGTGATAATAACTGCTGAAAACGAAACATAAAAAATAAAATAGAAAAACTTTTGGATTCCGCGCGCGACGACGTTCGATGCGTTCTGGCGTTCGATCCGTGTGACAACCTAACGAAAAAATTTACAAATTTATGTATATAAATACGAACACGTTCCCGTTTTTTTTTCCCTCCCGGTTTTTCCGACCTTTTTCTCTTTTTCATGCTCTAGCTAACGATTTCCTCCAATTCTTCGTCTTTCATTTATATTTTATTGCCGAAAAGCGGTAAAAGCGTTCGTTCGGTTAGTGGCGATGACACTTTTCCGATAATAAGAAAATTATTTCTAGAAATTTCTGACTAGATGGTGATTATGATATTACGATGCTCTTTTCTTTTTAAAATTACTTTCAAGTTCTGGAAATACTATGACGGTGAGTACAACAGCCTGAGAATGATGATAATAATAATAATATTTACAAATTTAAGAGAGCTCACGTGAGGAGAGAGAGAGAGAGAGAAAACATTATTTCATATTCGCGAAATCCTAACGCTCGGTGTTTTACGGTGGTTTCAAATGGTGAGAGTAAAGCCCACACAGAGTACACGTCTTGTCGGCGCTTGTGCTCAAAAATGAAAATTCTGTCGGATGCCACCTTCCGGAAATAACTTTGTCTTGGTGATGAGCGACGACGACACTGGTGGAAGTGGCATCCCCTGGAGACAAAAAAAACAAACCGATTAATGACGTCATCGTTCATCATTATTGTCACGACGTTATTAATAATAATACCTTCCTTGTAAATCCTTCAAGGCGAGTTTGTTATCGTATCCTCCGGTCAGTAGGTAATAAGCGCTCGGTGAAAACCTTATCGATCTTATGTCTGACGAATGAGGTTTGAAACATTGAACGTTTCTACCCCCGCGAATGTCGTACAAAACGCACGAGGAATCTTCGTGTCCGGATACCAGGAGTCGTCTGGGTGCATCGACGCAAACGGCAGCAACTGGTGAGCCCTGTAATCGTAGTAAAAACAAAAATTAATTAATTTTCCGGTTGTAGATTTTTGTATTCATCAAAACAACGAACGAAAGCTTCGCGTCGGTCAATCTTCTTTCTAATTTCCAGGAGATCGGCGGTCCCGGTCGGTGTCCTCTATCTGTCTTGCCCCTCGTTTAGTCCTTGTTACCCGTTAAAAGAGAATTCGGTCAACGAGCGTCTTCACTTTCTTCTTTAATATACCCTTTATTCAGGTGACAAAGTTTTAGTCTAAATCCTCCCTCCCGGCCGCATTCTCTGGAAGGAGGCGAGCTTTCCATCCCCCACAACGAAGGGCCGGAGGACACTTCCGAAAGGGACTGCCGAACGTCCTGGGAAATGCGTTCTCATCTTCGAGGTGAAGACGGAACGAAGATTAGTTCGGATCTCCCCCATAAGTGAATCGTGTTGAACGGTAACGTTCTGGCTTACCGGAGAGGGGAGACTGAAATGTATGTTCTCACTAGCGTCTCCCCCCCTCTTCATATAAGCCACGCTATTGCGACATTCCCAGGAGTTTTAGTGGGTATGGGTTCCCGGTCAGGCTTTCTTTAAACCCATACCGAGCCCCACACTCTCTCCCTAAAAAGAAAAGGTTAGTACGTAACCGCATTTCTCCTGGGTCAACAAAAAAAAAATAGCCCGAGAGCCAGGGTGCTGTCCAAGGGGATGGCTTCGTTCTGGCGGGCTGGGTGGACGCGTTGCTGATGTCGGTGAACGCGTCAATCACCCGCCCGATAAAAGATTTTGAAACCCTCTTGCGAGCCATGTCGCGTGAGGTCGGCTTGCTCAAAAAGGGTGAACGACATCTGTTCTCATCAGCGGACATTTCAACGGTAAGCATGGTCGAGACGCGCTACTAATGCAAGGGGGTGGTTGTTGACTTAGTGGGTGGACTTCATAATTCACAATTCGAGGGGTGCTAAAACCTGCGTGAGGGTCAATGGCGAGTCGGTAATTGACCTCACGATCTCTTCCGCCACGGCGGCGTCGTTGGGCTCTGGTTGGGAGATCCTCTCCGGGCTCGAGACCTTGATTGATTACGTTTTCGCTGGGTGGTTCTCAAGCGGTGGGGGTGGATGCCTCCAGCCTTGGACTGCGTGGCGTGGCGTAAAGTGAAACCTCGGGAATGTCTCCCAGATTGTCGTTGGAAGAAAAGAATCTCAATCAGGTGGAGCGGATCTCTGCAACGGCTATGCCAATGGGGGATCCGCTCCCACCCTCGCGAGTGCGGATCTGATGATTCCTTTGCTTTGAGGGGGGGGTTGAGGCTGAAATGCGGGTCATACTCCTGCAACTACCCCTCCTTCCCGGTAAAAAAAAAGCGCAGGAAAGCACATCCAGGAGTTTTAGTTGGGTAGTGACTTCGGTTGAGTCCCACAATCTTCCTGCTACCAGGCGGGGAGGTAAATACGAAATGTACTTCTCCTGGGCTAACTAAAAAAAAAAAATCAATGTCAATAATAATAATTATAATTAGAATTAAATAAGGTACCTGGAATAAATGTTGAAAAATCTCCGACAAATATTAAAACAATTCGTCGTCATTATGAGTGAAAATAATAATAATTGTAAGGAAGAAAAAGAGTAAAAAAAATTACAATGTCAGTTCAGAAATAATCAAAAAAAAAAAAAAAAAAAGGAAAGAAGGAAAGAAGAAAAGAAGACGAAGAAGAACAACAAAAAAATCTAAAAAATAAAACAAAAAAGAACAAAAAAAAAACAGAAAGAAAGAACAAAACTTTTTTTTTGTTGTTGTTGTTGTTGTTAATTTCTAATAATAAAAGAATGAAGAATCCATTTTCCTTTCATCATGATCAAGTTACCATCGAAATGAATGGAGATAGAAAGGGAAACTTTTTTTCTTCCTTTTTCCTTTTTTCCTTTTTTTCCTTTTTTTCCTTTTTTTTCCTTCCTTTTTAACAAGATCATCTGACAGCTCTTATTTTTTTATAACCCTTTTGTTTGTTTTAAAGTCTCTATATTAATTTAAATCTTTTTTTTTATTAGCTTGAAGTGATTTTTCAAATTTTCTTTCTTTTCTTTTCTTTTTTTTGTTCTAAATAAGATGAATCTCGAAGAAAAAAAAATTAAAAAATAAAATTAAACATATTTGCGTGTGTGTACCTTCTTTAGAAAGAAGAAAAAAGGAAGAAGAATAAAAAATTAAAAAATTTACAAGGCGAAAAAGAAGAAGAAGAAAGAGAAAAAGTAAGGAAAATAAAAAATTTTTTTTTTTTTATAAACAAAAGGAAGAAAATAAGGAAGGAAAATGCGAAATGTAGAATGAACGGGATGGTACGGAGGGGAGGAAGGGAGGGAGGGAGGGGATCGAGTGTGATGATAATAATATAAGAAGAAAGAGTAAAATATTACGGAGAAAAAAAGAAATGAAGATGATTATGATTATGATGATGATGATGGTGATGGTAAAGGAGAAGAAGGGAAAGAGAGATGGGGGGTGGGAAGAAAATGACTCGAAGGTATTAAAAAAAAAAAAAAGAAAGAGAAAGACGGAAAAAGTATAAGACAAAGACGGATGTATATATTTATATAAATATACGTATATACCCCCTGATACCTTGGGGCGTTTTTTTGCGATACGAAAAAGAGACCTGGTAAAATTTTAGGGCCTAAAGACGTAGTAATGCTTAGTGTACCTCGGTTAGGAAAATCCTTTCCATACTGTTCAATTTTCCTCCGGCAAATCGGGAAGTTTTGAATTTGAAATTATCTTTACTGAAATCTCTGACGTTCGAACTAACTTTATGAACCGTAAAATTTTAAATACCGAATTTATACATATAAATAAATGAATATCGAGTGGAAAATAAAAAATAATAAAATTTTCTCATGTATCTGATAAAATAAAAAATTTGTCGTAAAAACAAATCGCGGATTAAATTTAAATATTTTTTTTTAATTACGTGCAAAAGTTTCCCTCCCCTCTTCCCTCCCTCCCACCTCCCTCACTCACTCCCCCCCTCAAAAAAAAAAAAATAAATAAAAAAATTAAAACGTTTTTGTAACAACAAATTTCAATTTGAAAAATAAAATTAATTTTTTACTTAATCAAAATTCAAACCGAACGGATTATAAATTTTATTATTATTATTATTATTATTATTAACGTTGATTTATATTTTCCCCTCATTTTTTTTTTTTTTTTTTTTAATGTAAAAAAAAAGAAAGAAAGAAAGGAAGAAAAAATGGAGAGAGAAAAAAAAAAAAAAAAGTTTTCAAATTAAAAATTTGACAGAAAAGATTTTTAAAAAGAGAAAAAGATGAAAGGAAAGAGAGAAAGAGAGAGAGAGGGGGGGGGGAAAGAGAGGGAGAGATAGGGGGGAGAGAAAGGGAAAAAGAGTGTGAAAGTTTTTTTTTTTTTTTTTTTTTTTTTTTAATTTTGTTTTGTTAAATTCGACAGGAAAAATTAAATAAGGATTTTGACATTAAAAAAAAAAAAAAAACATTCAAAGGTAAACGCACACTCGCACTCGCACACACACACACACACTTTATTATTTTAATTCCGTTTCAGGACCCCCCCACCCTCACTTACCTTCTATCCTTCTCCCCGAAAAAAATTCGATTTCAATATCGATGTAGAATGTTTTTTAATTTAATCCAAAATATTTTCCGATAGTCCAAAAAAAAAAAAAAATTTAAAAAACCTACGGAAAAAAAAATTTTCTGCTTTTTTTTCTCTCTCTCTCTCTCTCTCCAATTTTTTCGTTATGCAAACATAAGCGTCGCATTTTGAAATAATAATAATGTTTACGACGTTTGCCGTTTACGTAAACATTGATAAACGCGTAGGCAACATTGAGTATTTGCCTGTATTGCAGTTTGCATATGTTGAAAATTTTCAGGCGGTCAATAAAAAATTTAATTTTTAATTAAAACTTTAACCTATTATTATTATTATTATCATCATCATCATCGTAATTATTAATAAGTCAAAATGCGAACGTTAATATATGTAAGTTTTTCTTTTATTTCAAATAAAAAATAATCCATTTATTATTATCATTATTATTACTTTTTTTCAAACGTTCGAAAAGGAGGGAAAAGTTACATCGAACGAACGAACGTGTCGTCGTATCACTTTTACTATATAACACGTGCTTATTCACCTGAAAAACGCTTAAATTCGGTCATTTCCGGTGTTTTTTACTAAAAACTTTACACCGTAAAATAAATTTAACGATGTTTCGTGATATTATTAAATCGATTATACAAAATGAAATTTTCTTTTTCTTTTTCTTTTCGAAACGTAAATTTAAAATAAAAAGAAAATTTCTTATAAAAATTTAGTTTTAAATGAATTTTTAAAAATCGAAAAAAATATTGCTATAAGGTACAAAATAGTTGATAAAAATAAGAATTAAAAAAAAAAAAAAAAAAATAAGGGACTATATAACCTTGAGTTACAACAGCCAAAAGGTATGTAGTCATGGTGACCAACCAGTCAATATCTACTAAGCTTAGAACCAATTGGGAGTATGCCCCGGAAGGTATTTAGGATGTTAGGGTGGAAAAGAGAAAAACCTTCGAGGAAACGAAACAACCATCTAGTCTAGTATTGTGCGTACGAAAGGAACGAAACGAAATCAAAATAATAATAATAATAATAATAAATCTTGAGGCGGTTTTTAATTTATTTCGATTTCATCATTAATTTTTTCCCTTTTTTTCCTTTTTTTTTTTTACCGAACAAAATTCAACAACAACGACGGTAAACAAACAAACAAACAAACAACAATCGAATTTTCCGAAAAAAAAAAAAAAAAACGGTAAAAATTTTTTTAAATGATTTTTTTTCGGCGGGTTTTTGTCGTGTCAGTAGCATCACGCATTAAAAACTTAAAATGTATTTCGCGCTCAAATCCCATTCATTCTACTTTCCCTCCTCTCTCCCCCTACCTCCCCCTCCCACAATAAAAAACAAAATTTTTTTAACAATACCAACGACCACAAAAATAATTTCAATCATTATTATTATATTTCGTCATGTAAATAAATAAATAAATAAAAACAAATTTAATAAAAACAAATTATTTATTTAATAAAATTATTATTATTATTATTATTATTATAAGTGGTCGTATATTTATATACTTTTACATATTTACATAATATTTACAATGATAAGAAAATAAAAAATAAAAAAAATGACGAAAAAGGTTTTCGATAATGATAATAATAACATAATTACGTTGTATGCACGTGAAAAATTTTCGAAAAAAAAAAAAAAAAAAAAATCGTGTTGTCGTGTATTTAGAAAAATTCCTTTTTCGCTGCAAAAAAAAAAAAAAAATGTGCATGAGAGGAAGGTCACAGCCCTCTTTGAGTATAACAAAAAAAAAAAAAAAATTCTAGACTTTGAGATCATGGCCATAAAATTACAATTTTTTTTTTTTTTCTCTTTTGTTTAATAAAAAAAATAAAAAGGAAAAGAAAGAAAAAAAGAAAAAATAAAAATGGTGGTGGGCGTTTTGAATCGAGTCTCGAAGATCCCTTTTGAGAAATGGATGATAGCCTCTGGGTACGAATTAAATTATCCTTCGGCGACGACGTTTGGCAAAATTCAAAATGGCGTAAAGGTAAACCGGTGGATTTTGCAATTTAAAAAAATCAAATCAAAAATATTCTGAACACAGTCACATCGGATAAACTTTACGTACGAATAAATATTCGGAAAACTGTTGACCTTCGACCCCTCCGCCATTACTCGCGGCAACGTTAAAACCCGCGTTTAACAATCTCGTGATGGCTTGAACGGAATTAAGCTTGCAATAACCGTTTAACGGAAATCTAATCACGTGTCTCGTATCGTGTTGATTCCATGCGACACCCGAACGAGAATCAATCAATCCTTGATTTGCTTCCGGGAAAACTTCATCCAAAAGGGAACGATCTCCCGATAACATTATCCTTTCACCGAGATCTGGACTTATGTGTAATGCAACGCATTCGAAACTATCCGTTCCATGTTGCTGATGTGGTGTCGTTCTGTTACCGTCTACGCTCCTCGGAGAATCGTTGCTGTTGGACAGTTTAACACTTTTGCTATTGCCTATGCAATGATTTCCCTGAGTTATTTGAAAAGGCTGCTGCTGCTGATGATGATGATGATGATGGGAAACGGGGGATGCGTCTTTTCCTTCCTTTTCCCTTTTTAATCTTTCTTTTTTCAATTGTTCTAATTGACGACACATTGCTAAAAATAATAATAATAATAATAATAAAATTAATGGATGTTTAACGTCGTCATCTACTACTACTACTATCTTCCTTCCTTCCTTCCTCCTTCCTTCCACGTCTTTTTCTTTCTACCCCTCTTCTCCTCTCATCACCGGATCTTTTGACCCCGTTCGATTCGACTTCCAAACCGCCGTATATAACATTTCTCCCCATTTTATTCTCTTTATTCGCCCCTCGGGTGATATATTCTTCTATAGTAGGCTCCTGCAAATCGTTATCGAAGGCTTTGGGGGGTATAACAAAAAAAAAGGACGAAGTTGAAAATGTGAAAGGAGCATGCGCGTCATCAAATAACCTCAGGGAAATAAACTTTACACGTTTCCAGTTCCAATCAAGTCTTTTAGGCCCTGAACCCCCTCACCTACTCCCCTTTCTCTCCCTTCCCCCACCTCCATCCCCCTTCAACTTTGTTAACGCTATGATGGCTATTTAAAATTTTTCTTTTAAAATTTATACATTTGAAAAATCATTTAGTCGTGGAACGAGAAAGAAAAAAAAAATTCCTGTCGTCTTTTCATTTTGCGCGGGAAATCAAATTCAAATTCAAAACTTGTTCATCGATTATTTCGCGATTTATTATCATTATCATTATCATTATTATTTCCATATTTCGCCTCGAGGTTTACACGCACTCACGCACACACGCACACACACCTTAGTTAACATTTCACGGCCTTGTGGGAGTCTGATTATAATTTTATTTGAAATTATCTGTCTTCGAGCCTTGGATGTTTTTTTTTTTTTTAAATTTTTCTTCGGGGCATAAACAAACACAAAAATTATACTTCCCCCCTCTCCTCCTACCTTTCCTCCACTTTTAAATCGTTCTTCTCCTTGGTAAATAATAATGATTGGGCGTTACCGCCCCCTTTCCCCTCCTATCGTCTATTAAGAAAAGCGGCGTTATAACAGTGTTTTTAATAATAATAATAATGAGTTAAAAAAAGAAAAACCAAGTCCATCCGTTCCTTTTTGTAATAATAATAATAATAATGATAGAAAAGTAATTTTTTTTTAACAAAGGAAAAAAGGAAAAATTTTTTAAAGAGGGCGGAAACACGTAGTAACGCACGCCGTGTAAAACACGTATAAATTATCGTCGCATTAAAAGTTTTGTCGATATGGCGACACGAAAAAAAAAAGAAAAACCGGAAATGATATTTAAATTTTCTTACGTGTTATATCAAAATATCTCGCTTCTTCTATTAATAAGTCTAAATCCTGAAAATTTTCCGGAATGAGAAGCCTTGAATTTCTCATGAAATTTAATATGTGCCTGAACATTCCACCGTCTCGATCTATGAAATAATGTTGTTTGAGTGAATCTAAAACGATTGGAATATTACCATTGAACAATTTTGCTAACCTCGATTCAGGATACCTGAAAAAAAAAAAAAAAAACAAAAAACAAAAATAATAATAATGATAATGATAAATTTTTTTTTTTTAAATTATTAATTCGATTCGACATAAACGATTTTAATTTTTTTTTTTTTTTTTTTAGTTTTCTCAAAGGAATTCATTTTCCTTTGTTTATTATTATTATTATTATTATTATTTTGATTAACCTTTTGAATAATTATCTAACCAGGTTAGGTTATGTCAAATCGACTTTTCTTTTTTTTGTGTTGGTTTTTTTTCAAATGACGTAAATTTCTAAGAAATTTTTTTTCTTTTTTTTTTTATTTACATCGGAAAAGTGAAAATTTTGTTTAAAAAATCATCATTATTATTATCATAACGAATTATTTAAATTGACGATTATAATATTGTTTATAATTTAAAAACTATTCCGTTATCGAGGGGGGGGGGAGGGAAAAGAGGAAATGAATAAATTTAATTATTTAATTCCACGACGACACGTTATTTTTCTCAACCGGATGTAATATCGATCGCTAACGATTTTTCTTTATAAAAAAAAATTTTTCCACCGCATTCGTTGGGGAAAGGGAGGGGGGGGAAATTATCCGATCATATTATAATAACGGACAAGTAGGCGACGACGGGTGTGCGACAAACGACCGTCCGTGTCGACAAACCCACACAAACGTCGTAGGAAGGAACGTGTTTAAATAAGAAAAAAAAATTATTTTATTTAATTCCACGTGAATTCGTTTGCGATATCGTACGTAACCCTTCCTTCTCCCTCCCCTTCTCCCCCTACCCTAAAAATAACAAAAAGTGTCAATAGAATAATAAATAATTTCAAATTTTTTTCGTAAATTTAAAACCCTTCGCTTTTGTTTTCAGTTAACTTACATTTTTCTTTATCCACGTAAAAATAATTTTTTTTTTAAATAAAAAAAAAACTAATTCTAAAACCACGACATTTAAACAATTTTTTTCTCATTTCAAGTTATTTAAACCGTAATAAAAAAAAAAACTTGGACGCGTTACGTAAATTTTAACATTTTCACATCATCGTATATATTTTCCCACGAGTTTTCCTCTCATTTTTTTTTTGTTACAAAAAATTCATCTCGTTTCATCATCTCATCATCCCCAGCATCTTTTTTTTTTCTGTTATTTACCACCTGGTGGGTAATGTAAACATTTATCGACAACCTGTTATTACTCTACCTTCCTTCCTTCCTTCCTTCCTTCCTCTAGTTTTGGACGATTGAATCGATCGCGTGTTTTCCATTTTAATTAATTTAATCATTAATCGGCCACGAGTCTCTCTCTCTCTCTCTCTTTCATTCTTCTTCCACTTTTTTTTTTTTTTGGTTCATTCGTTACGTTATTATAGGTCGTGTTATATTTATAATAATTCACTTTAATTAATTTTTTTTTTTTTTTACACGAATCTTTACAAACTCATCGTCGTCGCCATATTGTTTTTTTTTAGACTTTCATTCATTTCCTCTTTTTTATTAATGATTTTATTTTGGGTTTTTTTTTGTGGTTGCGGTTGTTGTTGTTGTTGTCTGCGTCGTGCTTTATTATTATTAAAAAAATAATAATAATAACTACCGGTTATGTCATTTTATTAATCATTGTCGTGGTAATGAAACGTAATCATATTTTAAATCGTCGAGAATTTTGTTTCTTCTTTTGTTAAAATTTAAACCCGGAGACCATTTTGTCTTGTTTGTTGTTGTTTGTTGTTTGTTCAATTATATAAAAATTCATTAATATTGGGATATCATAAAATATATATAAAGACTCTTGGCACCGTTTAAAATTGAAACTTACGTTATTATTATTTTTTTTTCCTTCTCCCCCCCCCCCATAGCTCTCTCTCTTTTTTTCCGGTGTTGTTTATCTAGAGCCACGACTTTAGGGGATTTTTTTTTTCTGGATCACCCCGAAGCGAATTTAATTTAATTTTTTATTATAAATTAAATTCCGTAAAAAAAAAAAAAAAAAAAAAAAAAATTATATTTTTTTTTAGGTACCATCGGCATATCGAGGCCAACAACCACAACCACCACCACCGCCGCCATCTTTTTTATTTTATTAATGACGTCATTTATAATGTCTCGCATAAATTTATTTTAGAAAAAAAAAATTAAAATTAAATTTACATGAGATAATATTTACAAAATCTGCCAAGTTTCATTCAAAGTCAAGTTTTCACATTTTGTTTTCCCCCCCCCCACTTCACCCCTCACCCCCCTCCCACGGTTGTTCGGTAAATATTCATTACATAGACGTCGTCGATAAATTTTATATTTTTTACTTTAGGGCTAAAAAAAATTTTTTTTTCTTATTATCATTTAAGAAAACAAAAAACGAAGGAAAAGAAAGAAAAGGAAAAAAAAAAAAAAAAGCCCCAATGGAAAAATGGAACCGAAAACCACCGGCAGGTGAACGAAAAAAAAAGAATCAAGAAGGACGCATATTATAAATACCCATAAGTACCTTGAGGGTAAGCATGGCCATGCACATAATAAATTTACTTTAGGCTATCATTTATTAAACAGCCGTCGAATTAATATTGTTGTTTGTACGGCCCTTGGGAGCGACAGGTGGCGTAGACTTGTCGCGCTTTCGGCCAACAACAACAACACCACCACCACCACCGCCACTACCACCACCGCTACCACCATCACCACCATCAACATCCATCCATCCAAGATTTTACTTTAACTTCTTTTAATTTTCCTTCAATTTTTATAATTGAGCGGTTCTTTTTTAAAACAAAATGTCTTTCATCTTATACGTCGTCGTCATTCATTAAAAAAAAACTTTTCAATCACACGACGATTAATTGATACGTTTACTCTCTCTCTCTCTCTCTCTCTCTCTATAAAACATGTATTTAACAGGTATAACTATTTTTTTAAATTATATAATCAATTTTAATTAGAGCCTTTATTTTTTTTTTGACATAATGAGTTAGTTTGAAATCATTCAAAATATTTTCTTGTACGTCATAGAGTAAAAAAAACTCGATCGCGCCATTTTTATTGTTTTGTTTTTGTAAACAATTGTTCTCTCACCGTCACACAGTTTTTTCCGAATTTTGTTTTTTTTTCGGGGGGGGGGGGGGAAAAAACGTTTTTTCGGGGCGAGGTAATATCATTTTTTTTTTCCTTTTCTAATGATTCAAAATATTAACTTGCCGGCCTTTACGTTAGAGGCAATACTAAAAAAAAAAAAAATTATTTTTTCCAACAAATTCACTTATATAAGCATAAACCTTAAAACCTGCTTAAGGCCACGTATAAATAATAACTTATATACGAAGGTGAATTTAAATCGTTGATTGGCCTTCTCGGGAAACAATCAAAAACTTTTTTTATTAAGGAGGGGCCTTATTTATATATATTCGCGATGTTTCGTGCAAGGCTTCCAACCTGAAGGTATATACCTTACAGATATTCATTTAAAGGTTAGAAAAGAAAACGACAAAGTCTTTTTTTAAATAAGGAAAATTGTTTTCTACTTCCACTACTACCAACATCATCATCACCACCACTACTACCAACATCATCATCACCACCACTGCTACCAACACCACCATCACCATCACTACTACCAACATCATAATCACCACCACTACTACCAACATCATCATCACCACCACTACTACCAACATCATCATCACCACCACTACTACCAACATCACCATCACCACCACTACTACCAACACCACCATCACCACCACCACAATTCGTTTCCTTTGATTTGATATTTAAAAGTGATTCTGGTGCCACTTTTAAAAAAAATGAGTGGTATATTAAAATTATTATTAATAATAATTGTTTTTTTTTTTTTTTGTGTGTGTTATTCCGTTAGAATTTTCATATGTCGGTTACGTTTAAAAGGTCAAACTCGGGTCAATAGAATCGAATAATAATAATAATAATAATAATGCAACAAAAGGATGGTTGGGTGACAAACGAAAAAGCGTTACTGGAAAACCTAATTTATTTAAATGAAACAAATGACTTAAAGCATTTTAAAGCGGAGACTCGTGTTGAAAGCCTGGAGGACTTTTAAAATATTTATGGAATGTGTCTAGAATATTTTTGTTTAAAGGAATTACATGAGAAGCCGCAACCTCGAAAATAGAGAGAGAGAGAGAGAGAGAGAGAGATAGAGGGATAGAGGGAAAGACGAAAAGAATGAAAAAAAAAAAAAGTATATGTGTTTGTGTATGTGTATACATAAAAATAATAATAAAAGAGAGAGAGAGAGAGAGAGAGAGCCTTTGGGCAACGAGGTGGAGCCGTAAACTTATAAAAAAAATAAATAAATTGGTCGACAGGAAAAAATACAGGAATTGGTCTTGATTCAAAAATAAAAACAAAAAAAAAATTATTTATTTATTTATATTTTTAAAACGTAACGTCGTGATGTCATCAAAATCGCGAGCTCCCACCCTCCTTCGCCATATTTATTTACAAAGGACAGGAAAAAGAAAAAGAAAAATCTTATCACTGTTATCATCAACCTTTTGCAGACGACGATGATTTTCACACACATTCGATTCACATCCTACATTTCAATGTAAAGTACTGACCTTTTAAAAAAAAAAAATTAATTGTTTTTTATTTACACGAAGGTCGAAGTGCGCATGCGTATACCTTAAGGGTGGTGGGTGTCTTGGTTCGAACGATGGGAGAGATTTAAACAGACAATTAACCGCGGGGGACAAAAAAAAAAAAAAAAAAAAAAAAAAATTTACAGATTCGTGAGACCGAAATCATTCAACCGATTACACAAATGATATTAAATATAATGGGAATGAATTATCGATAAATTTATGAAAAAAAAAAAAAAACGCGCGAAAAAAACCACGAATTTATCTAATGACACGAACGAATCGAAGGAAA